GCTGCGTCTACATGATTTTTTAACCTATTTAGGCGTCACTAAAAAATTTTCGCTTTGGTAAATCGTTTAATTAAATTTATTTTACAGTATATTAAGCCGTTTTTGATTCGTATACTGTGAGAGGTCTGTGCCTTTTATAATTTCGTCAAATGAAGGGAGGGGGGGGGGGGGTGTTGCATTACTTTTCAACTTTCATTTATTTTGAACTAATCCTAACATTTTTTCTTTGATCAGTAATCGCTTTCCACAAAACAGTTCGAACGTATCCGTGCAGTTTTTACATTATACCTGTTACTGATAACACTTCCAAGCCCATTGCTCGCAAACTTGTTTGTTCTTTGGAAATCTGAAGAAACTCCAATTTGAAACGTCTCTGATATTGTTGCTTGAACAAGCCACCACCTCACAGTACTTCACCGTTTTTATGAAATTTCGCTTGTACTAATTTTTTTATTGTGTATACCTGTTTTTATTCCCCGCAGAAATATCAGATTCTTATATGGGGTTGTCCAAAACGGACGCAGGAAAGTAAACGCATATTAAAACAAGAAAGATTGTTATTCAGATCAAGTGGGGTACTTTACTTTGAAGGTTCATTTGTACCATTTATGTATGAAAAATAAAATCGCTCAAATGTTCACCACGACTGGATTTACAGACGTCCACGCGATGGTCGAAATTTTCAATGACATTTTGCAACATGGTCGGTACTATGGCATTTATCTCGGCAATGATGTTGTTTTTGAGTTCTTGGAGGGTGGCTGGTTTGTTGACGTAGACTTTGCTTTTCAAATATTCCCATAAAAAGAAGTCCAAGGGAGTCAAATCGCACGATCTTGGTGGCCATGGCACATTTCCTCTGCGCGAAATCACGCGATCACCGAAGAAGGACTGCAATCGATGGATATTGACGTTGGTTGTGTGGCATGTTGCACCGTCTTGTTGGAAATAAACATCGTCCATATCCATTCCTTCAAGTTGCGGCAAAAAATAGTCCTGTATCATCACGTGATATCGCTCAGAATTGACGGTAACGGCGTCCTCGGCCGCATTTTCGAAAAATTAAGGTCCGATGATGCCTTTTGACCACAATGCACACCACACAGTCACTTTTTGAGGATGCATCGGCTGCTCTTGATACTCACGGGGATTTTCGTTCGCCCAGATGCGGCAGTTTTGCTTGTTTACCGTCCCATTCAAAGTGAAATGTGCTTCGTCGCTGGACATGTTTTTTGATGAAAAATTGGCATCAATTTGGCGGTGTTCAAGGAGCCAATCTGAGAACGTTCGGCGCGAAAAATGGTCGGCCCGACGCAGCGCTTGCGTCAATTGGATTCTCTAGGCGTGTACATACATTCAAATCCTTGTGGAGAATGCGGAGCAAACTGGTCCTCGAAATGCCCAATTCTTGGGATCGACGCGTTGTTGGTTGTTTCGGATCGTCTCTCACACTCTCCTTCACAACAGCAATATTTTCCGGTGTGCGAACGCTCCTTGGCCGGCCAGAGCCTGGCAGATTTGCCACAGAACCTGTTGCCTCGAATTTACGCACCGGACGACCGATGGTTGTTTCGTTTGGGCGGTTGTTGCGACCGAAATGTTCACGAAGCGCGCGAAACGTGTTTTTTATTTTTGCACCATTTTTGTAGTGCTCTTGAATAACTTTAATGCGGTCTTCAATCGAATACGATTCCATAGCGATCAATGGTAAACATTCAACTAACAAAATGACATGTCGGTGACAGAAAACAAAGATGGCGTCTATGTCAAATTGACGTTTACTTTCCTGCGTCCCTATTGGACAACCCTATAGTTCAAGCTCAAAATCCGATTGGATCTCATATATCGATTCGATTGATGATGAAACCATTCTATACGTATCTACTTCTTCATAATCGAAAAAAAAAAAACAAAAAATGAGTCTTATATAAATGTAAATGGTTCCTCTTTACGATGGAAGTGGATTCAAGGAGCATTTCAGAGTGACTCGCAAGGTGGCTGAAGATATCTCACCTAAATACAAACACAGCATGTTCTTCAAAAAGACGACTGGAGGCAGTCAGAAACTCTCTGGTTATGAGCAAACACTTTTTTTTGTGGTTCGCAAGACATGAAAGATCATCATTTCGTGATCTAGCAGGTAGATATGATACACCGATTAGTTGTTTATTCTACATAAGTCGTATAATCAATATAAAAAAAAAGTTTATCCGGAACTGTAATAATGAGGATAGAAACATGGATTCATATAAATATGTAAAATACGATGCTGTCACTGTCAACTCAAAAATATTTTGACAGAAAAATGTGTTCTAGCAGAATCAAATTTGGAACCGTTTAAAACTAGTCTTTTGACAACGCCGCGTGATGAGGAAGTTCATAATCGGGTGTCAAACCGTTGGAAATATGATGCTAGAACACTAGATACTAATATCAATATCATGGGGAAATATTATGTTGCCTTCCGGATTACTACCAACAAAGTCCAACTTCTAGGTAGTAAAACTTGCCCCATACATCTTCCAAGCCCGATTAAAGAACCGAAAAACCCATAACTGGATCCAGTAATCAAAGAGATGAGCTCCTAGAAAGGCGCCGCAAGTCGGATGGACACAATAAACGTATCTAATTTAAAAAACCAATATATTTCGGCGTGAAACAAAGAAGGAAGAAGATCGGTGTCGGGTGCCTGAAAGGCAGAAAGCGGGGACCGAAGATTCAGGGTTGCCACCACCCGCGGCGAAAATGGCCCGACAAAGAGCAAAGTGTTAGAAGGAACTTGGTCAGAAGGTCGGGTCAATAAGGTGGTCGTGCGTATTTGTAACTTAAAACAGGTTTCGGCCAGATACACCAAAAACCACACCGCTAAAATACTACTACTACTACTACTATAAGTCTCCTGGCGAGGAAGTATTTTAATCGTGAAAAATATAGAAAATGAGGTATTATGTTTTTTGGATGACATATGAAATAGATCACAGAAAACCATGTCACTCATCTTCGCCGATCTATCTGTCTTTGGATCATCTATAACTTGGAAAGTACCAGTCAAATTTTGTTGAAATTTTAACACAAGATTCCTACTATGCTAAGGATGAAAAGTTTTGTAATATTTTTATGACGGTCCAGTGGCAGAGCAGTTATGTGCAAGAACTTCCTATGCCACTACTGACGTGGAAGTATTGTAAACTCGAAAAATTTCGAAAATGAGATTTTATGATTTTGGGTGTTATATAACATGTACATCAATAAGAACCATGCCACTCATTTCCGCCAGTCTTTCTGTCTGCCCGCTAACCACTGACCCCTCTATAACATGATTTTGATGAAATTTCCGCACGAAGTTACTAGATACTATACCAAGATCAAAAAAGTTTTATAGTTTTCAAAAATCAGTCCGATTGCGGTAGAACTAGAAAAAAAAGGTAAAAAAAATAAAACTCGCTCAAATTTGTCTTTCTGACGTTTCAGTGGGTTCTAATCATTTTTGAAAAAATTTTAAGGGGTTAAAAATCTCAATTGTTTGACAGTGGTATACTTAAACGTCTCCAGAAGTGGTAACTCTACGCACGCTTTAGACATATTTTACTCGTTATAGATTTCGTGGCACAAGTATCCTAAGCCTCGAAGAAATATTTCCGACCCTCGCGAGCCAATCATGCGATTCGCGGTCCTGTCAATGCATGTGTGTAGCCGCAAAACACATACCTAAGACTGAAGAAATAGGAGCTGCACGTTAAACGATGACGTCACTTGACGTTTGTCAGAATAATAAAATACAACATTAATTGAGGCGGTCAGAAGCAAAGGAATGTAAGTGACTTTTCCACCAAAACCGAGTTATGGGCACAATCAAATTGTTGAAGCACAATTTTATTCGGTGGCAAAGAGATATACATGAATTCTTTTCTGGTGGCTCTATCTATCCGCTAAAAGAAAAAGTACCTACTCAGCAATATCTTCAACTTACTTGGAGGCAATGGGATGTATGTGCACTTATATCTCTTTGCCTCCAAGTTCTAGACCAAATAAAGCAATTGCGTGCGAGTGTACTGCGTATTTATGACAGTGCTTTAAGTAATATTATTGTTGTTTTTACAATAACTATTCAATAATATCAGTGAATATTATTCGTGTCAATCATATTATGATGGATTTTGAGTTAGATGGTAAGTACGATAAAAATCAAGTTGAAATTAGATGTTTTTTAGGTTAGGAAGTAGAGTTTTATTTTTCTCATATGTTCATGGCTTACGATGTTCTAAATTTGCTTTGTATTCTTGTATTCACTTTTTTTTGTTGTGTCTTTGTTTTTTTGAGGTGGATTTAAATTCCTATTGTTGACTACCACCCAGATAAATCTTCATCTATGAGTGAAGCAGAGTCGGATGAAGGCGATTTAGGCAATCACCAGATAAAGCGTAGCAGGAAAAGGGTTCGAAACGAGTCATCTTGGATAAGGAATAAAGCCAGGAAGTTCAGGAACAGTGGTGGGGAGTTCATCGGTCATAGGAAATTGCTAAAACCAGCAAGAGCCGTTCAAGATCTGGCAGATCATCACTGTCGATACCAGTGTAATAGTTTTTCAAATGAAGATCGCCAACAAATCTTTGAAGACTATAGGAATTTGAGCTCATGGAATCTTCAAACGGCATTTCTTACCGCTTGTATGGAAACACGTGCACCTTTGAAAAGAAAATTAGGTGTTGAGCCACGTAAACAGGTGAGCGTTCAAATAAAATTAGTGGGAAAAAGAGTGTTTGTTGAAAACTCTGAACATAAGTCAGAAAAGATATGACAACGTTTTAAAAAAAAGAAACCGCACAAGCGTAGCGCCAACTGACCAACGTGGTAGGCATACCCCAGCAAATAAGATTTCGGACAACGATGTTGCAATAATAAAGGGCCACATTAAGTCATTTCCAAAATACTCGAGCCATTATTCACGTGTCAAAAATCCGCATGCAAAATATTTGTCAGGCGAACTAAGCATCCACAAAATGTATAACCTTTACTTGCAGTATTGCCAAGAAAATAACATTCAAAACCCTGTTAAAGAGAGCTTTTATAGATTTATTTTTACAACGCAATTCAATCTTCGTTTCAAACGGCCCCACACTGATACATGTACAATATGCGATATCCTTGAAAATAAAATCAATAACGACAATAATCCTGAAGTAGTGAATGATAGTAAGATCCAGAAAGAGATTCATTTACGAAAAGCTGAACAGGCTAGATCAGCTAAAAAAGATGTCAAGAAATTGGACAAGGATAATCCAAATACTGTAAATGCAATATGTTTTGATCTAGAAAAAACTCTCTCCACGCCTGTATTAACTTGTAGTAAGGTCTTCTATCTGAGACAACTGTGGACTTATAATTTTGCAATACATAATCTTGCAAATGATCAAGCATCAATGTTTATGTGGCACGAGGGTGAAGCGTCTAGGGGATCCCAAGAAATTGGATCATGCTTATTGAGATATGTTCAGCAACTGCCTAATTCAGTAGAACATATCATCGCATTTAGCGATAACGCAGGCGGTCAAAATAAAAATAACAACATTATAAAATTTTGGAGGCATATTGCTCAGACAACCTCCATTTGTAGAATTGACCACAAATTTTTAATTTCTGGTCACTCTTATATGGAGTTCGACCAAGATTTCGGGCTTATCGAGAAGTCAAAGAAGAAAAATCAATATGTTTTTGTCCCGGATGATTGGAGCAAAATAGTAGCTCAAGCTAGTCGAAAGTTTACTGTTGTACGAATGAGAAATGAAGATTTTTTGTCAGTTGAACAGATGAAAAAAGAGATAAAAGACAGTATTCCAGGGATACGTAATATTCAGTGGTTTCGACTGGAAAAAGATAAGCCCAATATTCTTCAATACAAGAACACTTTGAATGAGGAAATGGATTTTGTGCATTTTGACCTTAGAAAACAGAAAAAAGGGCCGTCCAAATACGCAATTTGACCTTACATTATTGTATCCTGAACCACCATCTATAAAAACCGCCAAATACGAGAACCTCCAGCAACTCCTTCAGTTTATTCCCCCCATTTACCATAACTTTTATTCATCACTAAGACATCGAGGAAGCGTAGCTTCCGCAACAAACGAAAATAGAGAAGTAGATGCCAAAGTCAGCCAAAGAGACATTTCTGTTGAAAATTCTGCAGATGTTTCAGCTGAATGGGAATCTGATGATGATTAGAAATTAAGAGCGAGTCAGTGCTTGGTGATTGACATTAAAACCTCTGAGTATTTTGTTTTGTATACATTTTTTTTGTCAATAAACTTTCGATTTCATCTGTCTGCTATTTTGTTATTTTGCAATAATTTACAAAAACCCTTTATAAAGAAGATTGCTTGAATCCATATGCAATTATGGGTAAAGAAAATAAGATTTATAGTGTAAGTATTATTCAAAAATTAAGTGCTAAGGGGTGTAAGTGATACCATCGCTTTACTGTACGCCCTGTATTTTTGGAATAACCAGCTCAATGGCATTAAAATCTATAAAAATAATCTTTTACAGCATATTGGAAAGTGAAAAAAACTATATTGAGTATTATGAAATACCCGTGATTTTTTTACACAACTTAAACTTTGAACCTGTTTTTCTCAAAATGCTAAAACATGCACTTACACCCCTTTGCTTCTGACCGCCTCAATTATGAAGCACAAAATATATTTAGTTTAAAAAATAATCATATGCTGTTGACAATGGTACAAAAATTGTATTACATGAACATATAGATAGATTAATTAAAAAATTCCTATTGTGTGTTGCAAAACACAGGTGTCTTACTTCATTGCATTGTTTCTTGATAATTCTGAAACAATACGGAGAACACTAATGTAATTCATAATTCTTTGCAAATAAGCTAGTCACTTTTAATTATTAGTTTGCTCAGTTCTATGCCTTTAATTTGTTGACTCTGATGGGCACAGTTTTGCTTTATAAAGCTTAAGGCTTTATGACTGTACTCTGCTGATATTACCATGCTTACTTAATACAAATAAATCGTTTTTTATATAACGGTGCAAACTACAAGGTTTATTAAGAGGCTGACTCCAGACATGCAATTTTAAATAATCTACCAACTAAGTACATCATGCCGATATGTTAGGTTCACAGCCTACCTGTAGCACTTTATGACTTATGACAGAGTCTCCTGAACTTCTGCATCTCCCACAATACTCACAATATATCTGACGTATACCATCACAGCTACTGATAGTGTTGCTTTATACTTATTTTATACTCGTTTTTAACGAAATATCTCGGAAAGCGTTGATAATCTGGATATTAACCAAAACAAACGCCATATTGAAAATACAGATTAAAAACAAAATGGAAGTTTCGGAGGGAAAGTCAAACCATCGTTTGTCAAAAATCAAACTTTGTTGGTAAGGAAGTTTCTTAGGTAGTGCCTGGAGAGAATGACCTTGGTGTTCGTCCCTGTGTGTAGCAGTCGGCGTCCGTTGCTCGACTGGATGTGAACTAGTGGTGGCAATATTGCACTTATCCGGATTCAGTAATCTATACTCAACTGGATCCGAAGTAACCGATTACAAAATATGATACACGATGAGTGTTAGCAAGCATAAAGGTAAGTACTCACTTGGAGACCACGTTGCGCGATTTTCTTTAGGTGGTCTAGAGACCGTCTAGACTTGAGACATAGACATGGTGTAGAAACACCGATCTTTGCCTCGTCTAGCGTCCACACTGTGATGGGAATTTTTCTAGTCTCATCTTCGCCAACCACCATGGCGGACCTTGCTTTGTGCGCAATGAGTACCTGTTTAGTAAAAATGCGCGAAAACGTAAATGTTGGTGGACGCGCGAAGTGTTCGCAGAAGGACCTAGGTTCGGTACCGAACTAGTAAATAAATTAAGATTGGGGGACAACATTTGTCGTTTGACCACATGGTAAACAAAAACAGCAGAGACCGCATGCACTTGTTTACAAAGCAAGAGAGGTACTGGGAAATATATCGTCTATGGACGCGAGGTACTCACTATCACCTTGTTGCGCAACGTATCCCAACGTTGCATCAAGTCTCCCATTTCAATCGGGAGACTTGAGACCTGCTTTTTTTTAGTTTCAAAACCGCCCCGTAGACCGGATTTGGTCTATAGACATGTCTACCGAGACATACTGAGACAACTTTAGACATGTCTCTGAGACCAAAATCGCGAGACATGTCTACTAGTGAGTACTAGGCTTAAACAACATCAGTCTGTCGTGGTGTCGTGACTCCTGGCGATACAATATGCAATGCTTTTATTACTATTTCGATCCTGTTCTGACATCTAGCGGATATTCGTTATAACGGAGTATTGCACCTATCCTCTTAATTGATTTTTGCAAATAGCGCCATCTGTATGACAGATGCAAAATCATTCGTAATTCACTAACACAAACAAATGGATAAAAGACGACGTCATCTGTATGTCGGCGATTTTAAGCGTTTTCATTTAGCTTGCCTTGTGCTTTTGTGCATCCAATTTGTCGATTCAAAATTTACCTTATTTGTGTTGACGGATTAATATGATATTTGGCAATATTTACATATGTTCAGTGCTGATGACAAGACAATTATCTATCTCCACAATAATAGCAAATCCACACGTTCCTGAAGTTAGCTTCTGATTCAGATTCGAATATGATGATGAAATTACAGTCGACCAACTCAGTAGCGAGCTGAAATCGCTGATATGCTAGAAAACTAGTATGAGGGTTGCTTTATGTTAAATATTAAACGTGGTGGAGTGGACGGGAAAACGAGAAAAGGCACTAGTGTGCTATCTTAATGAGAAAAATACCAAAAATGTTTTTTTACATGACGCTCCTACTGTTATTAGACCTAACTGTACTTCTACCGGTGTAAACACCGCATATGTGTTAAACGAAATGGTTACACACTCATACATGTTCTTAGAGGCCTCATAGAAGTACATCCTGATGACATAGCTTTGCGAAAAATCAGAGGACTACCTTGTGATTCTGCGCATACAAGGCTTCACTGCTTAAAACAGAAAAAAATCGCAGAACCCAAACGAAGAATTGTGCCACCAACAAACTCATATATGTTGTAGAGACCTCATAGGAGAGGAGTACTTCTTTATGGCATAGCTTTGCGGGGGGATACAGGGTGATTCTGCGCATACAAGGGTTGACCCCTTAAAACAGAACCCAAACAAAGCATTGTGCCACCAACATCATATATGTTGTAGAGATCTCATAGGTGTACATCTTTATGTTATAACTCTGCAAAATATCAGGGGACTGCAGGATGATGCTGGGCACACAAGGGTTGATTCCTCAAAACAGAAAAAAATCAAGCAACCCAAACGAAGAATTGTGCCACCAACAAACTCATATACGTTGTAGAGACCTAATCGGAGTACATCTTAATTGTATACCTTTGCGAAAGATCATGGGACTACACGGTGATTTTGCGCATAAAAGGCTTCACTGCTTAAAACAAAACAAAAAATTGCAGAACCTAAACGGAGCATTGTGCCACCAACAGATTTGTTTGTTGTAGAGGCCTCATTGAAGTACAATCTTTATGGTATAGATTTGCGAAAAAGCAGAGGGGACTACAGGGTGAATCAGGACATACAAGGGTTGATTCCTCAAGGCCAAAAAAAAAAATTGCAGAACCCAAACGAAAAATTGTGCCACCAACAGAGTCATATAATGTTATAAGAGATCTCATAGGACTACATCTTAATGGCATAGCTTTGCGAAAAATCTGGGCACTACAGGGTAATTCTGCCCTTACAAGGCTTCACTGCCTTAAACAGAAAAAAATCGCAGTACCCAAACGAAAAACTGTGCCACCAACCAACTCATATATCTTGTAGAGACCTCTTAGGAGTACATCTTTATGGCATGGCTTTGCGAAAAATCTTGGTACTACAGGGTGATTCTGCGCATACAAGGGTTGACCCCTGAAAACAGAAAAAATTGGCAGGACCCAAACGAAGAATTGTCCAACCTAAAAACATTTATATCATGTAAATACATCCTGATAGCATAACTTTACGAAAAATCAGGAGACTACATGGTTATTCTGCGCATACAGCGTATCACTGATTAAAAGAGAAAAACCCAATGGTCTATACAACATGGTATATATACTCTTGTATGCGCAGAATCGCCCTGTAATCCCCTGGTTTCTCGCAAAGCTATGTCATAAAGATGTACTCCTATGAGGTCTCTACAACATAATATGAGTTTATTCGTGGCACAGTTCTTCGTTTGGGTTCTGCGATTTTTTTGTTATAAGCACTGAAGCTTTGTATGCGCAGAATCACTATGTAGCCCTCTGACTTTTCGTAAAGCTATGCCATGAAGATCTACTCCTATGAGGTCCATACAACATGGATGAGTTTGTTGGTGGCACAATCCTTCGTTTGAGTTCTATGATTCTTCCATAGAGATGTACTACTACGAGGTCTATACAACATATATGAGTTTGTTGGTCGCACAATTTTTCGGTTGGGTTCAGTGATTTTTTGCAGTTTTAAGCAGTGAAGGCTTGTAGTCCTCTGATTTTAACCTAAGCTATGCCATCATGATGTACTCCTATGAGGTTTATACAACATATATGCGCTTGTTAATGGCACAATTCTTTGTTTGGGTTTTGCGATTTTTTTCTGTTTTAAGCAGTGAAGCCTTGTATGTGCAGAATCATCCTGAAGTCCCCTGATTTTTCGCAAAGCTATGCCATTAAGATTTATTCCCGTGAGGTCTCTACAACGCGTATGAGTTTGTTGGTGGCACAATTCTTCGTTTGGGTTCTGTAATTTTTTTTCTGTTTTGAGAAATCAACCATTGTATGCCCAGATTCACAATGTAGTCTCCTGACTGTTCGAAAAGCTGTACCATAAAGATGTATTCCTATGAAGTCTCTACAACATGTATCAACATGTATGAGTTTGTTGGTGGCAT